ACATTTAGTATTTCGGAGATGTTTTCAATTTCATGGTTTTAAATATAGAATGACTTCTACCATGATGTTTAATTTTATGATCGTGAGAGCTTTCATGTTCATTTCTCGTCAAGGTAGAGAAAAGGTTTCTTTAACAAGTATTGTCGACATGTGCTTAAAGAGTCATGTTTCTAAATTTTTTTGCGATTGCATAGGAGTAAGCTGAGTATGTAAGCTAAGTTTTCGGGAAAATATGTGAAAGTTAGACTTCTTCGATGTTGTTGCGGAATGCGTTACCCATATGACCTGGACTCTTTGCGAATGTACTGTGAATTTGGATCTTAAATTTGAATTTTAAAATACCTACGAATTATTTTACTGCGTGGTTTTGACTATTTACGCAAAACGCTATGAATTTTCTGATGTTGATTTAATAATATTGGACAACAAAATGAAGTTAAAATCTGTGTATCACGTTGGAATGGAATATTTATATTTAAAATTAACTAGATTAACACTTTTGCTTACAATTTAAAAAATATTATGAAATGTGACCTAACTTCATATTCCGGGATACCAGTATCAGTATTTAATTCTAAGGCAAATCATTATCCGTCTGCTATAAAAACATTTATTTCGATACATATATATTTATAAAAATTACAAATCACGTAATACTTTACTTTATAAAAGTGAAACAATAAATTTGTAGGGCCTAGCTTCATCCTGATAAACGACCGAAACAATAAAATTCAAAGAGTCACCAACAAATCTGGGATTATTGAATAAAAATTGTGTATTTTAGTATTTATGAAAAATTTGGAGATATTTTTAATATTTTGTAACATATAGAGAATATTTTTTATTCATGATTTTTTTCGTTCGTCTTCGCGGACCCCCTAGGATTTTGCTACGGCCCTAGGGGTCCGCGGACCCCCTTTTGGGAACCGTTGGTCTATAGTCTAGTCTATAGTCTAGTCTATAGTCTAGTCTATATCTAGTCTATAGTCTAGTCTATAGTCTAGTCTATAGTCTAGTCTATAGTCTAGTCTATAGTCTAGTCTATAGTCTAGTCTATAGTCTAGTCTATAGTCTAGTCTATAGTCTAGTCTATAGTCTAGTCTATAGTCTAGTCTATAGTCTAGTCTATAGTCTAGTCTATAGTCTAGTCTATAGTCTAGTCTATAGTCTAGTCTATAGTCTAGTCTATAGTCTAGTCTATAGTCTAGTCTATAGTCTAGTCTATAGTCTAGTCTATAGTCTAGTCTATAGTCTAGTCTATAGTCTAGTCTAGTCTATAGTCTAGTCTAGTCTATAGTATAGTCTATAGTCTAGTCTATAGTCTAGTCTATAGTCTAGTCTATAGTCTAGTCTATAGTCTAGTCTATAGTCTAGTCTATAGTCTAGTCTATAGTCTAGTCTATAGTCTAGTCTATAGTCTAGTCTATAGTCTAGTCTATAGTCTAGTCTATAGTCTAGTCTATAGTCTAGTCTATAGTCTAGTCTATAGTCTAGTCTATAGTCTAGTCTATAGTCTAGTCTATAGTCTAGTCTATAGTCTAGTCTATAGTCTAGTCTATAGTCTAGTCTATAGTCTAGTCTATAGTCTAGTCTATAGTCTAGTCTATAGTCTAGTCTATAGTCTAGTCTATAGTCTAGTCTATAGTCTAGTCTATAGTCTAGTCTATAGTCTAGTCTATAGTCTAGTCTATAGTCTAGTCTATAGTCTAGTCTATAGTCTAGTCTATAGTCTAGTCTATAGTCTAGTCTATAGTCTAGTCTATAGTCTAGTCTATAGTCTAGTCTATAGTCTAGTCTATAGTCTAGTCTATAGTCTAGTCTATAGTCTAGTCTATAGTCTAGTCTATAGTCTAGTCTATAGTCTAGTCTATAGTCTAGTCTATAGTCTAGTCTATAGTCTAGTCTATAGTCTAGTCTATAGTCTAGTCTATAGTCTAGTCTATAGTCTAGTCTATAGTCTAGTCTATAGTCTAGTCTATAGTCTAGTCTATAGTCTAGTCTATAGTCTAGTCTATAGTCTAGTCTATAGTCTAGTCTATAGTCTAGTCTATAGTCTAGTCTATAGTCTAGTCTATAGTCTATAGTCTAGTCTATAGTCTAGTCTATAGTCTAGTCTATAGTCTAGTCTATAGTCTAGTCTATAGTCTAGTCTATAGTCTAGTCTATAGTCTAGTCTATAGTCTAGTCTATAGTCTAGTCTATAGTCTAGTCTATAGTCTTTATAGTCTAGTCTATAGTCTAGTCTATAGTCTAGTCTATAGTCTAGTCTATAGTCTAGTTATAGTCTAGTCTATAGTCTAGTCTATAGTCTAGTCTATAGTCTAGTCTATAGTCTAGTCTATAGTCTAGTCTATAGTCTAGTCTATAGTCTAGTCTATAGTCTAGTCTATAGTCTAGTCTATAGTCTAGTCTATAGTCTAGTCTATAGTCTAGTCATAGTCTAGTCTATAGTCTAGTCTATAGTCTAGTCTATAGTCTAGTCTATAGTCTAGTCTATAGTCTAGTCTATAGTCTAGTCTATAGTCTAGTCTATAGTCTAGTCTATAGTCTAGTCTATAGTCTAGTCTATAGTCTAGTCTATAGTCTAGTCTATAGTCTAGTCTATAGTCTAGTCTATAGTCTAGTCTATTCTAGTCTATAGTCTAGTCTATAGTCTAGTCTATAGTCTAGTCTATAGTAGTCTAGTCTATAGTCTAGTCTATAGTCTAGTCTATAGTCTAGTCTAGTCTAGTCTATAGTCTAGTCTATAGTCTAGTCTATAGTCTAGTCTATAGTCTAGTCTATAGTCTAGTCTATAGTCTAGTCTATAGTCTAGTCTATAGTCTAGTCTATAGTCTAGTCTATAGTCTAGTCTATATCATTCTAGTCTAGTCTATAGTCTAGTCTATAGTCTGGTCTATAGTCTAGTCTATAGTCTAGGTCTATAGTCTTGTCTATAGCCTAATCTTAGTCTAGTATATAGCCTAGTAATAGTCCAGTCTATAGTCTATTTTGTTGTTATCTAAAGATCAACAAAGTCCATTGTCGATCTGCTAAAATGTGTGACACTTTAAGTAACACTTTCTCTTCCCGGTAGTTTATACGGTAGTCTAGTCTATAGTCTAGTCTATAGTCTAGTCTACAGTAGTTCTATAGTCTAGTCTATAGTCTAGTCTATAGTCTAGTCTATAGGTCTAGTCTATAGTCTAGTCTATAGTCTAGTCTATAGTCTAGTCTAAAGTCTAGTCTATAGTCTAGTCTATAGTCTAGTCTATAGTCTAGTCTATAGTCTAGTCTATAGTCTAGTATAGTCTAGTCTATAGTCTAGTCTATAGTCTAGTCTCTAGTCTAGTCTATAGTCTAGTCTATAGTCTAGTTTATAGTCTAGTCTATAGTCTAGTCTATGTCTGGTCTATAGTCTAGTCTATAGTTCTAGTCTATAGTCTAGTCTATAGTCTAGTCTATCGTCTAGTCTATAGTCTAGTCTATAGTCTAGTCTATAGTCTAGTCTATGTCTAGTCTATAGTCTAGTCTATAGTCTAGTCTATAGTCTAGTCTATAGTCTAGTCTATAGTCTAGTCTATAGTCTAGTCTATAGTCTAGTCTATTAGTGTAGTCTTTAGTCTAGTCTATAGTCTAGTCTATAGTCTAGTATATAGTCTAGTCTATAGTCTAGTCTATAGTCTAGTTATTAGTCTAGTCTATAGTCTAGTCTAGTCTATAGTCTAGTTACAGATCAAAGTCCATTGTCGATTCTGCTAAATGTATGTCACTTTAAGTAACACTTTCTCTTCCCGGTAGTTATAACGGCTATTTCTAGGAAATTCGAAAGCACAAATTAAAATATTAAATCCAACAACATTCACGTCTTAACAATTTAACCCATAATCTAAAGTATCCAACATTCTACATTCAGATAGTCAAACACTTCATATGAGAAAATTTACCCACATATTGTCACTTAATAAAGATACAAAACACACACGCACTCAATCCATAAGGACTTTTTATTATTCCCTAACCAAATTCCATTTTTCATGCAGGCGTTCGTTCATTTATTCATTCATTATTTCCATTTGCCATAAAACTAATATATTGCTTAAGAAGAAGAGAAATAAAACTTCAATTTTCATTATTTTCTATTATTTTTAATGTTCTTTCTGTTTCCTCTCTTTTTTCTGCTGTTGCACGAATATTTTCAGCATCAAATGCAGTTGTTGCTGCTGCAGCAGCAGCGGCTGCCGCCGCTACTTTAACAACTTCGCTACCACGTTTATCGGCTAAAACCACAAATCTGGGTACGGTTACAAGACCAAGACCACAACCTATAGCGGGTACACCACCACCGGATCCAAATGAAAAATGTGACACAAAGATAATTCAGCAAACATGCAGTCTCTTTGGATTAGATTTGGTAAGTAGACAATGATGTAATATGGTGGTTAGAATAGTAGTAGTAGTATTTTCTAGAGGATTGAAAGTAAATTTACGACACAGCTAATTAGGGTGTTCAGTGAGGATGTAAACTTTTTTAAATTAAATCAGATCTTGTTCACATCATGAAGACATGAAGAATGGAGACATTTAACCCAAAGAATAATGTGTCGGATTGTCTATGAAAGTTATGACACTTTTAAAACTGTCATATGATCAATCAATGATAATGTCATAATGTGTAAGGACAGTATGACATTGTAAAATTTAGATAACACCCTAAATATGTAAGTATTTTACAAACATCGGTTTACAAAGGCGAAATATTTTGCCATCAATGTGCAAACCTTTGAATTATAACGGTTTAGTAGAACAGTGAGACAAAAAATTCTTCGTATAAAAAAATCTTTAAATTATAAAAAAACATAATTTCACAAATAAAACCTTTAAAAACTCGTAACAAGCAGAAGATTTAAACTAAATAATTACTTATATTTTTTTCATTTTTATTTCATAAAAAATAATCTACTATACATCTACTTTTGTTACCTACTGTATTATGTTTAAAACTGTTGATACTTAGTTCATGACTTATTTACAAAATATTATAGTGCATTGGCATGCTAAGGAATAACAAAGAACTGGAATGCTTGTTGCATTAAGTCAATGATGTTGGCATGAAATTGACATTTAATATAACTAATAATCATAAAAGAGACCAGTGAATATGTCAACGGATTTAAAGATTATTGAAGAGATAACAAAAGAAAACATACGATGTTAAATAATGTTGGTCTATAAGTAAAAGACTGCCTCTAGCGGCAATTGTATGGGTTTAACCCAAAATGCAATTGCCTTAAACAGTCATATCTCTTACACTTATTCAGAATCCCCAAAATCACTTGATACATCTCCTCTGTCTGTAAAAGTATCTTGAAGAAATTATAAAGGCTAGTCTGTAGTCTTGACTACAGACTAGTCTATTAACTAGACTACAGACTAGACTATAGATTAACTAGACTACAGACTAGACTACAGACTAGACTATAGACTAGACTATAGTTAGACTACTAGACTATATGACTAGACTATAGACTAGACTATAGACTAGACTATAGACTAGACTATAGACTAGACTATAGACTAGACTATAGACTAGACTATAGACTAGACTATAGACTAGACTATAGACTAGACTATAGACTTAGACTATAGACTAGACTATAGACTAGGACTATAGACTAGACTATAGACTAGACTATAGACTAGACTATAGACTAGACTATAGACTAGACTATAGACTAGACTATAGACTAGACTATAGACTAGACTATAGACTAGACTATAGACTAGACTATAGACTAGACTATAGACTAGACTATAGACTAGACTATAGACTAGACTATAGACTAGACTATAGACTAGACTATAGACTAGACTATAGACTAGACTATAGACTAGACTATAGACTAGGACTATAGACTAGACTATAGACTAGACTATAGACTAGACTATAGACTAGACTATAGACTAGACTATAGACTAGACTATAGACTAGACTATAGACTAGACTATAGACTAGACTATAGACTAGACTATAGACTAGACTATAGACTAGACTATAGACTAGACTATAGACTAGACTATAGACTAGACTATAGACTAGACTATAGACTAGACTATAGACTAGACTATAGACTAGACTATAGACTAGACTATAGACTAGACTATAGACTAGACTATAGACTAGACTATAGACTAGACTATAGACTAGACTATAGACTAGACTATAGACTAGACTATAGACTAGACTAGAGACTAGACTATAGACTAGACTATAGACTAGACTATAGACTAGACTATAGACTAGACTATAGACTAGACTATAGACTAGACTATAGACTAGACTATAGACTAGACTATAGACTAGACTATAGACTAGACTATAGACTAGACTAGAGACTAGACTATAGACTAGACTAGACTATAGACTAGACTATAGACTAGACTATAACTAGACTATAGACTAGACTATAGACTAGACTATAGACTAGACTATAACTAGACTATAAGACTATAGACTATACTATAGACTAGACTATAGACTAGACTATAGACTAGACTATAGACTAGACTATAGACTAGACTATAGACTAGACTATAGACTAGACTATAGACTAGACTATAGACTAGACTATAGACTAGACTATAGACTAGACTATAGACTAGACTATAGACTAGACTATAGACTAGACTATAGACTAGACTATAGACTAGACTATAGACTAGACTATAGACTAGACTATAGACTAGACTATAGAATAGACTATAGACTAGACTATGACTAGACTATAGACTAGACTATAGACTAGACTATAGACTAGACTATAGACTAGACTATAGACTAGACTATAGACTAGACTATAGACTAGACTATAGACTAGACTATAGACTAGACTATAGACTAGACTATAGACTAGACTATAGACTAGACTATAGACTAGACTATAGACTAGACTATAGACTAGACTATAGACTAGACTATAGACTAGACTATAGACTAGACTATAGACTAGACTATAGACTAGACTATAGACTAGACTATAGACTAGACTATAGACTAGACTATAGACTAGACTATAGACTAGACTATAGACTAGACTATAGACTAGAATAGACTAGACTATAGACTAGGACTATAGACTAGACTATAGACTAGACTATAGACTAGACTATAGACTAGACTATAGACTTAGACTATAGACTAGACTATAGACTAGACTATAAGACTAGACTATAGGACTAGACTATAGACTAAGACTATAGACTAGACTATAGACTAGACTATAGACTAGACTATAGACTAGACTATAGATTAGACTATAGATTAGACTATAGACTAGACTATAGACTAGACTGTAGACTAGACTATAGACTAGACTATAGACAAGACTATAGACTAGGACTATAGACTCTCTTAAAAATTGTGTCTTGCTTATTACGGCCTTCAGCAGGGTGCAGAATTTTAAACTCCGGGGTAATTTGGACACCGATTTCTCGAACTCTGTTGCAACGCAAATACAGAAATCACAGGATCAATTGCATTTGCAAGCATCGGGTGTGTGTTATTCTGTAATATTGGCCGTTAAATTAAGGAGGTAGTAAGGATCGAATAAAGATGTCAAGATACGAATTAGCTCTGAACCCCTTCAAAACCTACTTCCATCTCAGAAGAGAACAACTACTGAACTGGAAAACACAAAACAGTATCTTTGTGGAGAAGTGATAAGATGATTTAATGATTTTTTAAGATATTGTTACCTCTTATTATGTTGTATAGTGAATAGTATAAAATAAGGCAAGGTTCTGATTTATCAGGTTTACTAACACCTTTTCAGTTTAAGCACCCCATCTGCTTAAATTTTATCACAATAATTTCTAAACTTATCCCACATTCATATTAGCCTTTTTTCGCATTTCTATGCATTATTATCAAATTCATACTTTTTGCCATTATGAACCATTTTAATATAATTTCTTTGTTATGCAAATTTGTATTAATTTAAACACAATTCACTATTTGCAGGAACGTCCACCACCGGTACCACCGTCACGCAACTACACCGTTACCGGCAATACAAAACTATGTTTTCCACAAAATCGTATTATGAAAATGAATTTCCCTGAGGACACGATTACAAATCCGCCCACCGAACAATTGAAAAAAGGTGAAAGTGTAACGGTTGTTGGTGCCTCAACATGTCGTGGTCATTTGATAGTCGAGCACAAAGGACAAAATTTTCATGTACCCTTTCAATATATGGAATTGGTTAGAGGACATCATCAGCAACAACAGCAACAACAACAACATCATCACTCCCATCATCAAACTGCTAATGTCACTAATACGAATGCAAATACACAGCAAAATGCGAATAATGTTGTCAACTGCAACAGCAACAATAATAACAATGGAAACAACAACAATTTGGCCAATAATAACAATGTTAACAGTGGCAACAACAATAACAATGGTGGTGGTGGTGGTGCTAACAATGGTAATAATGTTGCAACAAGTGCAGCTGTCAAAATATAATGTTGATGGACAATGGACAATTGTAACAGCAACAACAACAACAGTAATGAAATCAACAACATTTTATGACAATGAGTATTTGCAAATGTATGAAAGTATTAGAAATGAGGGCAAAGAGGATTTGAAGAGAATGTTCTAGCTTGACAGAACATGAATATTGTTTTGTTTTGTTGTATGTTTGAGTGCCTATGTAGACTCTATATAGATATCTGACCTGGTCAACAGTGGAAGATGTTACTAAAGAAATTGCTATTAAATAATAGTTACCGACAAGATAGTAGATCCTTTAAGAGAAATTTCGATTATGAATTTCAATTTTGTTAAACACAAATAGATCGATATTATTTTAACTGAGTTATATCGAAATTGATCCAATCTGACGTAAATGAAATCTGGATTTCCTTCTGTGACACTATATAATCTTATTTTCCAAATTTAGTAACTATATTTTTTAAAATTTATAACCACTGTCAACTAGTATTGTGTTTCATCTGATGATTAAACAAATACTTACGCACCTAATCCATGTTGCACCTACAAACTCATTATTTTACTCTGAAAATTAGGGTTGTTTATTTTTTGTTATACAATTTTGGGTTTTTAAGAATTTCGAGGAATGCGAAGCGGATAATTATGATACTTGATGAAATTATTGATTATTCGAAAACCAATAATCCAATTGAAGATAAACGAATTGTTTAAAGTTACTCCAACTGAATTATATCTTAAATAGCTTAAGGGACTCCGAGGTTTCCCAGCTGAATTGCAAGCGATTGGTGAAACATAATCTAATAAAGAATACAAACAATTCTGCGATTTTTTTGATAGAACGATTTGAACATCATCGACATTATTGTGACGGGAGCTGTCCGCATTATAGCACTTGAAGTCTTAATAGAAATACTGGGAGTCTAGTTTTTAAGCATGGGTTACAAAAAAAACACACATTGTTTTACTTATCATGGACCATTCATCGCCAAAATCTCATTATGACGATTTATTTATAAATTTCAAAATATTCCTAAATAATGCAAATTATTTCTTACGTCCTTCTTCAGACCAACTAAGATATTTCTATGGACCCCTATAGGTCTTCGGATCCCCATTTGAAAACCGTTGCTTTGAATAAAATTCAAATTTTTAATTTGTTATCAGATTTGTATTAAATGTCGGGAAAATGTCTCATGAGTTGTAAGGGTTCCAAATTTTAAAATTACATACTGTATCCCAGATTCTTAAAGGAAAAATCCTGAAAATTAAAAAGAAAATTTCCTTTAATTTGGGTGGCATATGGCTACTTTGGTTCTAATCAGTATCTTCATACTTATAAGTACATATACGTATTCGATAATTATGTATATCTGTGCTTCTGGCAATGATAGTCAAGGACTCTAGATTTTGTACGTTCAACAACCGTCACACGGCCAGAGAAATTGATTTTTGGCCAAAAGTCATATTTTGAAAATTCGCATAAACCATTCACACCAATATGTTGTACACACCTTGAAGCAGATTAGGTTGCAACATAATAACTATACCGAAGAGAGCTCTCGTAGTCCGTCAGTACTTTTTGTCCTTTGATCTATTTATTCATTTTACATCATCTCCCTTGCTGGGTTACAGGCCTCTAAAACCCTATTGGCGTTTTCCGAATTCAGTGGTTTGGATGTAACCATTATTAGGTTGTTATTGTAACATATTGGCTGTAACTGGTTGTTCTTTCCTGGGTATAAAACTTCCGGTTGATACAGCTGCTGCTGAGATGACAATCTTTAGCCGATTTAGAATCGGGTCGTTCCGGAGCGGAGATTCAATTGTCGTGAGAACGACCATTATTAGGTCTTTCTTATTGGTGTTGCAAAATCCTATCAAATCAAGATAATGTTGAAGTTATCATTGGAAAGTGAAGTAGTTTATCTAATCAGTACAAACTGCTACCGAGACGTCTGTGTGGTTAGTTATGGTAACTGGTGGCTCTCGCCTTGAACTATAACATAGGGCCAAAATAGCCCAATAGCAATACAAACTTCTACCGTCCGACTAATTAGTTCTTGTTATAGCACTCCCGTGGCACTGCACAAATCTTGCTTAGCACATGAGAGAATACGCTACAGATAGAGGTCGCAATAGATAACACTCAGCAGCTCTCAAAGCAGATGATAGACGCTGTTGGATAAGTGATGCTTATGATACCACATAAGTGGTTTTTTTGATGCTTAAGCGTCTGAACCATTTCGGAAAACTTATAGTAGCCATGATCTCGGGCAGGAAATAATGCAAATAACAAATAATTTTTTGTTGAATTTCATTTAATATCTTGATTTTTAAACGATTTATTGATAATAATAAAGCGAGTTTCTCTTCGTATAATTATTGGGGAGAAGTGTCAATTACAGACCTATACTTCTGATCCTTGTTCATATGAAATTTCAGTCAAACTGCATCAATATATAATATTTGTGTAAAATTTCAGACCTCCAGCTACTCCATTTCAACAGACAGGCGTTCATGGCTAGATCGTCCTGCAATCTAATTAGGACCCAGAATATATACTTTTTTGTAGGTCCACTATCAATTTCGATGTTATACGAACGGAATCACAACATTCTATGTTAAAGTATAGTTAGATATTTCCAAACTGCTGAGATAATCCAACTAGATTTAAAATTATCCAATATGACGTAAATCTTCCCAAGTTCGACTATTATATCAAGGGTTATAATAATTCGACTAGAACTCCTAGAAATTCGCAAAAAATAAACGCAATAAAGCCACCCTAATATTCACAGATATGAATATATTAAGACTGTAAATATTATATACTCGTAATCGTATTCGTAATTATAGAAATTTATTTTAAAACACTGTCTAAAATTTTAATTAAATAAAATTCTACATTATTTTTATCTTCATTATAAATGTGGGAAAAAAATGTTTTATTCTAATTATATATTTAAATACTACAAAAATCCATACAAATAAAAGAATTACACATACATACATATAATCACAAAAAAAAAATAACATTATATGGTTAAAAAAATAAAATTAAATTTGTATAAATTTATGTTTACAAATTACTTAACTAAGTATTATTACTTGAACTCTTAACAGTTGTTCAAGTTTATCCTTTTCATTTATATTCCTTTAAGTGCCAATTAATTATAGATTTTAATATTTTAATCATAAAAAACCAACATCCCAGCCAAGTTCTTCCATTATTTGTTTAAGTTTTTTTTTTTAAAAAAAGCTGCTTAAATACATAGTTTATTTTGTAAAGTATTGATTATATTTTTTAAGCAAATTCATGTTAAGATTTTGAATTTGTATTATTTTTATTACATCGTCTTTAGTTTGTAAGAATTATGGTATTTTTTTATATGCAAAATAAATATTCATTCAATAAAATTCTGATTTAAATATTAAATTGTCTTTGTTTTAGTTGATTGCCAAATAAAATTATGGATTTTTCAAGATTTTTTTCCAGAAAATTTTTCTTACGACCGAGTCGCATCGATATTAGTTAGTTAGTTCGTTAGTTAGTTAGTTAGATAGTTAGATAGTTAGTTAGTTAGTTAGTAGTTAGTATTAGTAGTAGATAGTAGTTAGTTAGTTAGTTAGTTAGTTAGTTAGTTAGTTAGTTAGTTAGTTAGTTAGTTAGTTAGTTAGTAGTTAGTTAGTTAGTTAGTAGTTAGTTAGTTAGTTAGTTAGTAGTTAGTAGTTAGTTAGTTAGTTAGTTAGTTAGTAGTAGTTAGTAGTAGTAGTTAGTTAGTTAGTTGTAGTTAGTAGTTAGTTAGTAGTTAGTTAGTTAGTTAGTTAGTTAGTAGTTAGTTAGTTAGTTAGTTAGTTAGTTAGTTAGTTAGTTAGTTAGTTAGTTAGTTAGTTAGTTAGTTAGTTAGTAGTTAGTAGTTAGTTAGTTAGTTAGTTAGTTAGTTAGTTAGTTAGTTAGTTAGTTAGTTAGTAGTTAGTTAGTAGTTAGTTAGTTAGTTAGTTAGTTAGTTAGTTAGTAGTTAGTTAGTTAGTTAGTTAGTAGTTAGTTAGTTAGTAGTAGTAGTTAGTTAGTTAGTTAGTTAGTAGTTAGTTAGTTAGTAGTAGTTAGTTAGTAGTTAGTTAGTAGTTAGTTAGTTAGTTAGTTAGTTAGTTAGTTAGTTAGTTAGTAGTTAGTTAGTAGTTAGTTAGTTAGTTAGTAGTTAGTTAGTTAGTTAGTAGTTAGTTAGTAGTTAGTTAGTTAGTAGTAGTTAGTTAGTTAGTAGTTAGTTAGTTAGTTAGTAGTTAGTTAGTTAGTTAGTTAGTTAGTTAGTTAGTTAGTTAGTTAGTTAGTTAGTTAGTTAGTAGTTAGTTAGTTTAGTTAGTTAGTTAGTTAGTTAGTTAGTTAGTTAGTAGAGTAGTTAGTTAGTTAGTAGTTAGTTAGTTAGTTAGTTAGTTAGTTAGTTAGTTAGTTAGTTAGTTAGTTAGTTAGTTAGTTAGTAGTAGTTAGTTAGTTAGTTAGTTAGTTAGTTAGAGTAGTTAGTTAGTTAGTTTAGTTAGTTAGTTAGTTAGTTAGTTAGTTAGTAGTAGTAGTTAGTTAGTTAGTTAGTTAGTTAGTTAGTTAGTAGTTAGTTAGTTAGTTAGTTAGTTAGTTAGTTAGTTAGTTAGTTAGTTAGTTAGTTAGTAGTTAGTTAGTTAGTTAGTAGTTAGTTTAGTAGTTAGTTAGTAGTTAGTTAGTTAGTTAGTAGTTAGTTAGTTAGTTAGTTAGTTAGTAGTTAGTTAGTTAGTTAGTTAGTAGTTAGTTAGTTAGTTAGTTAGTTAGTTAGTTAGTTAGTAGTTAGTAGTAGTTAGTTAGTTAGTTAGTTAGTAGTAGTTAGTTAGTTAGTTAGTTAGTAGTTAGTTAGTTAGTTAGTTAGTTAGTTAGTTAGTTAGTTAGTAGTTAGTTAGTTAGTTAGTTAGTTAGTAGTTAGTTAGTTAGTTAGTTAGTTAGTTAGTTAGTTAGTTAGTTAGTTAGTTAGTTAGTTAGTTAGTAGTTAGTTAGTTAGTAGTTAGTTAGTTAGTTAGTTAGTTAGTTAGTTAGTTAGTTAGTTAGTTAGTAGTTAGTTAGTTAGTTAGTAGTAGTTAGTAGTTAGTTAGTAGTAGTTAGTTAGTTAGTTAGTTAGTTAGTTAGTTAGTTAGTTAGTTAGTTAGTTAGTTAGTTAGTAGTTAGTTAGTTAGTAGTTAGTAGTTAGTTAGTTAGTTAGTTAGTAGTTAGTTAGTAGTTAGTTAGTTAGTTAGTAGTTTTAGTTAGTTAGTTAGTTAGTTAGTAGTTAGTTAGTTAGTTAGTTAGATGATCTTTCATCCTAATCAAACCCTCAACCTCCCAATTTACAGATTTGGAAACTTCTGCCTAACCTACAATGGGTCTCTTTTTAATAAAATATGCTTTTAAAGATGATTAAATTCTAAAGATTCTACCAAAATTTTGATTAACTTATTTAGCTTTAAACTTTAGCCAGATTTCATTATTTCTTTAATTATCATTGTATCCATGAACTTTAATCATTTACATCATTGCCCATTGTTGCTCCTATAAGT